GAGCCAAAGATGTTAGAATTGTGTCGATGTCCCAATATTTCTGGACCTGACTGTATATCAGAGAGGGGGGAATCATATAGATATGGATAGATATATTTGACATTAGTCTTAAATAAATAATGAACATTTGCATCAATAGCTTTTTAGATTATAATTTTATATAAATTATCATCTAAAAAACTAAAAAGCTTCCATACCCTCTGATGTATACAGTAATGTGAAACATGAATTATTCATGAGAGGGACTGCGCATCCATTTGCAAAATGGAACCTCAGCAGTGGATGCCATGCAGGTGTTGGTCCCATCAGCTAGAAACACTGTGACCATTGTACTTTCAGCAGTATTGCTGCTATCTAGATAAAATGAAATGCAACTGGTATCTCTTCATTGAAGTACATCTGTTAGGTAGAATTTGAAGCAAGTTTCACCCTGGACTGCCACTTTTTGGTGGAATATCTAAGAGGATAGATAAACTGCTCATCACTTTTTTTTCTTTTGGTGGTTGCTCATCCTTGATAATCTTCTCTGTTTTCTTAAGATTCTAAAATGACCATGTAATACAGTATTTGTTCTGTCTTTTGTCTGTAATCCAGTGAATAAATTCAAAATGGGATGTTTTGGTTCCTTCAAGAAGGCCTGAAGCTACTCAGTTCTGTGTTGCTTTTTTTATTCTCATTCACCATTTTAATGAATTCCAAAATTTATATCACCATGATTTTATGTTGATATTTGTACCTTTTTTTTTTAAAGGGCATACTAGTCATGTTGTTACAATTAGTTACATCCTTCTATACAAAGAGTTGCTGTAGGTTATAATTTAGGATAGTGTGTGCTTAAAATATATATTTAATAGTGTTTGTAAATAGGAGAACAGAATAGCAAAGAAATCACACCTTGAGGATTTTCTCCAATATGTTGATGGACTATGTTGCTGCATAAGAAATAATGTTCTAAAATGGATGCATTATAAATATTTGGACAACTAGGAGCTACTTTTTCAGAGAATGAAAGTATATTAAAAGCATGTTGTCTTCCTTTCTAATCAATAAATAGCTTGGATCTGTTGTCAGTTTTCATATTAGTACTATTGCCAAATGTAACATTTTGCACGAGTGAACTATTTTAGTATTTCTATTAGCATGCAAAGGACCATTTCTTTTAAAAAGCATTTTAACTGGTTATTTAAAAGTATTTATGAACACGATGGCTGGTGTGGGTCTTCCGGGCTGTGTGGCCGTGTTCTTGAAGTTTTGTTTCCTAACGTTTTGCCAGCACCTGTGACCGGCATCTTCAGAGTGCAGGAGCACTTCTGGGAAACTGTTGGAATGGGACAGTTGCTTTTTCCTTTTAAAATTAAAATACCTATTTTTAAGAAAGAATCTACTTTTTAAACTACCTGCCTTATTAAGAGAGAACATTTGTGGATAGCTCTTTTAACTTCAGAATAGTATGTTCATTGAAAAAATTTGAACAGGTTGATCTGAGATACTAGAAAGAGTAAAGTCTCCTTTACAGACAATAAAATAACATTTAGCTATGCCACTTTTTAGTAAAGGAATTTTCACTGTAGGTTTCTTAGAAAATAGGTAAAAATATACTTTTTATTTTTAAATTAGTAGGCCAATTTGTACCAAGAGGAAATACCTTCTTATTATTTGCTTTGTCCTGTGCTCCATATATAAAATTTGAGGCACATTGGTACCTGTTTTTCTAACCAGAAATCATATTGCTACAATATACTAATAAATGTTCTTACCTGTTTTGCTTTTTCACAATCATGTCCTTCAGAACAGAAAATTTCAGAAGAAGAATGCATCATTTTGATAGATGGCTTAAATGAAGCTGAATTTCACAAACCTGATTATGGGGATACAGTTTCTTCATTCATCACAAATATTATTTCTAAATTTCCTCCCTGGCTAAAACTGATTGTGACTGTAAGAACAAACTTCCAGGTAATTTTTAAGCAAAGGCTGGTATAGTTTTTAATCTGATAATAGCATTGCACTCTTGGAGCAGAAAAGACTCCTTTAAATTTTACTTGGTAGGACTAATCTGAAGTCTTTGACAGTTGCTGCTGTTACAAACCACACATACCCAGGAATGGCCATCATCATTGTTTATGTACAATGGAGGCTCGTATAAAAGGTCATAATGTATTTGTTGTGGATCTGTAATATTTGTGTTCAAGTGTTTTTATTGTCTTGTAAGAGTTGTTGCTCCTCACCAGTGCCACTGCGAATTGGTTTTGACACACATTGATGCTTACTGAAATCTAAAACTTGACAGTTGAGGAGCAGTGTAGCACTCTGATGCAGTTTCAGTGACCTGGCGCAAATCTTTTGGTAATACATCACATAGGTCCTTTTGCTAGAATTTCTGTTGTTTTCATTTTCTGTTCTGTTATGGAATATCTGGGCTTTCAAAGTTTTGTTTTAAATTCCTTTTCTCCAATACAGTCTGATTTCAAGATATGGATTCTGAATCCCTGAACTGAAGAGTGCTAGGGATCAGTTCAGAACATGATTCACTTCCTAATCTTGACCACAGAAGGAGCCTAGCCAGGAAAATTGTTAGAACAGAGAAAGTCATGTGACTGATCCCTATTAAAGCATACGGGGGCAGCTTTTTCATGGATATAAGATGTCTCGTTGTTTTGCATGTCCCCTTCTTGCTCTGAATTGGGCCTTTAGCTTTTAAGAAACTCTTGTATGGTCACAAGAACAGCGTCATGGTCAACCATTGTCAAGTTTAATAACCATTAAATTTGACCTGCATCAAAGAGTACCATTTCAGAGTACAAGTAAAAGATAGTGATTTTTTTTATATAAAAACATTTGTGCAATCTAGAACAAATGTGTTGATGTGCTGGTTTTATGTGTGTAAGGAATCTATATTTGCTCCTGTGTTCAGCTATACAATTATCTATATAGGAATTTTGATAGGAAATGAATTAAGGTATTGTTAGGCCAAATAGTTACCTGTTAATTCAATAAATATACACTTGTGCTAGGGCTTCTTTCTGGTTCTCACTCAAACAACTTTCACCATCTTTAATTTAACATGGTTTTAAAATCAATTGATATAATAATGAAGTTTACAAAGTGCTATAAAGTCTGTCTGTCTTTCTTCCTCCCCCACCCCCTTCCTTCCTTCCTTCCTTCCTTCCTTCCTTCCTTCCTTCCTTCCTTCCTCCCTTTCCCCCCCCCACCCCCTTCCTTCCTTCCTTCCTTCCTCCCTTTCCCCCCCCCACCCCCTTCCTTCCTTCCTTCCTTCCTCCCTTTCCCCCCCCCACCCCCTTCCTTCCTTCCTTCCTTCCTCCCTTTCCCCCCCCCACCCCCTTCCTTCCTTCCTTCCTTCCTTCCTTCCTTCCTTCCTTCCTTCCTTCCTTCCTTCATGCAGGAAATAACCAGCTCGCATCCTTTCTTCACAATCTCCCTGGATGACTTTTCTGACAATAAAGAAATACAGTCTGATTTAAATGCGTATATTCAATACAGGATCAATGCCAGCCAGGACATCATAAACAATATTTCCCTCAATGGAAAAGTTGATGCCATGACTATTGGAAAAGTGAGCAACCACTTGATTGTGAGAAGCATGGGATCTTACCTCTATTTGAAATTGACACTAGATCTCTTCCAGAAGGGTCATCTAGTGATTAAAAGTGCAAGTTACAAAGTAGTTCCAGTATCTCTTTCTGAGCTTTATTTGCTTCAGTGCAATATGAAATTCATGACAAATTCGGCATTTGAAAGAGCTCTGCCAGTGCTGAATGTGGCTCTAGCCTCACTTCACCCAATGACAGATGACCAGATCTTCCAAGCAATTAATGCTGGCCAGATCCATGGTGAACAGGAGTGGGAAGAGTTCTCGCAGAGGATGGAGGCTCTTTCAGGCTTTCTGATAAAAAGACGTGACAAAACACGGATGTTCTGCCATCCTTCCTTCAGAGAGTGGCTTGTTTGGAGAGCAGATGGTGAAAATACTGACTTTTTATGTGAACCAAGGTAAAATATAATAGGTACTAATGGCTGTTGATAGTTCTTTTATTACAGTATGTAAGAGAAAAAATGATATTAACCATGTGCTTTCTAAAAGAAAAATGCTTTAAGAGCCATAATATTGTACACTTTAGGTTGGATGAGGCATACATGAATTTGAAAAATAAAAACTCAGGAGAAGCCTGCACATCCAAGAGTAGAGTGTACTACTTTTGTTAAGGATGAATGGTTAGGTTCTACATTTTAAAACTTAGTAACAGGAAGGATGACATTCTTATCTGCTATAATGCTAGTCAGTGTGACTGTCCAACACTAAAAATCCTTTACCAACATATCCTCTCATACTATCAGACAAGACTTTCTCAGGTTTGCAGAGATTATAGACACTTCAACAGACAGAATAGTATGGTAGAAGGGAACTCATTGGGGGAAGCTGTTAAGTTTTTGAATTTGGGGCATTGATGACTATTTCTTTTTCCGCCCCACTTGTCATTTGTGAATCCTGTAAATAAATTTGGGTATGGTCTGTGGTGGAATTATTGATGTCTACAGTGACATTCATATAATTTGGAAAAAAGTTCAGCTCTCTGAGATTTATGGACTTGTGCTGCTTGATGCTCTAAAATTAGAAGCGGTTCAAAATTTAATGAAGGAGAATGAATGAGCATGTTGGCTCTTGGAGAAATATACTTCATCAGGACTATTTTGCTAAGCAGATGTATCATTTGCATGCTGGTCCTGGTGCTGCTGCAGCAGTTACCATCCTCTTTCCTAGCTCAGAGCATTTCAGTATGCAAAATTGGGGATTTAGTGCTGAGCTTGGTGATCCTTGGAAGCTTTGTTAACTACACAACCATAGCACTGACTGAGGATTGAGCAGAGCTTCAGATGTGTTTTCATGCAACAAAAATTACACACAGTAAGGCATGTGTTTTTAAATATGCAGGCGTATTTTAAAAACAATGTGATGTGACTTGGAGGGAGATTATTTTTCAAAAGAAAATAACAAAAGTTCTGTTACACGTGTGAAAGTCTTTAAATATCAGTAAGGTAGCTTTCTTCTAGGTATCTTTGAGTTCAGCACAAAGAAGCATTTATCCCAATAACTTTGGTGAAAGGCAGAGATTGTACTAGGCCAGGGGTGGGCAACTTGCAACCCCAAGTCTGCAATAAGCCCAGAGTTATCTTCTTGTGGTCCAGGAAGCCTGTCTGATTGTGATTCCCAAAAACTGAAGACACAATTTCCTTCTGTTTTGGAGAACAAGGGAAAAAAGTACATAAGACCTTAGATAGGCACAGTTAACTTAGAAAGATTACTAAAATCTCTCACCCCCATCCCATTGTGCTGTATGTGTGAAATGGTCTCATCCATTTTGCAGCCCTCACCACCTCACAAAATGTTAAGTGTGTCCATTGCCACCAAAACGTTGCTTTCCCCAGTGCTATCACTGCAGTGACGTTATATAATTACATTGTATTACTTAATAATTCTTATTCATCTTGAAAAACTAATCTGGTTAGTCCTTCACTGGGAGGAAATTCTAAGGCTAGACTGAGAAATAGAAAAAAAAACACTGGATCTTCTATATTGTTTGAAGAATATAATATAGATACATCCATGAGGTCACCAAGAGTTGAGCTCAAATAGGAGACTTTATCTTTTTGTTGCTTTTATATCTCCTGGCTGCATAAAAATTTAATCCGTTGAAATACATTAGAAGTCAGCATTTTTTGAAGATCCAGTGTACGTTACCATAGTTAAATTGTTATATTTTTTATATGGATGGAGGGAAAGAAAATGTTTGTTTGTATATCTGCTTACTGTATGAAAATTGTGCCAGGAAGTGACAGTGCAGCTTTGCACAACTTTGTAAACCTTGTATTTGTCATAGCACCCACTCCCTTTTAATGAAATATGTTGTATATGATATACTTCATAGGACAAAAGTTTACCTCTAATGACTTACTTTGGTTAAAATGTATTACAAATAGCATACATTTTCTCCATAAAAAGAACTAGTATAGTTTCAGAATAATGTAGTAATAGTAGTTTTTGACCTTCTAAGTTTAATACATCTTGATATTTAAACTTTATGCAGACCAGAGAAAGAATGAAAATCTGTCAGTTAAGGGGACATATTCTGAGGGGACTGGTTAGGAACCTGTTTAAATTTGTCTCCATCCTTTTTATCATTGCACTTAGGAATGGACATGCTCTCCTTGCATTCCTGTTTTCACGTCAGGAAGGAAAACTTAACCGTCAGCAAACAATGGAACTCGGGCATCACATTCTTAAAGCTCATATTTTTAAGGTAAGATACACATTTTATTCTGCCATTTAATCTGTTTTTTGTCTTATTCTTCGTTAAATATTTCTGTCACAATACATTCATGTCCCTTGTTTCTTTTCTTCCATCCAGAGATGATAATAATATCAATAATAATAATAATAATAATAATAATAATATATTTTATTTGGAACAGCTTATATCCTGTGACAGTACCTTTAACACCATCAAACAACGACATCTGCCTATCCCAGGTCCTTGGGAAGGACACGATAGGTGGATAAAAATGCCAAATCCAATCTAAATATCTGGCTGACTATACGACCAACCATAATAATATGTTGTTACCTTGCTTCATATACAAAAACATGCCAGAACAGTTTACAAAACATAAAATACCAACTAAAAAGTAAAAAATGGGGAAAGAGAAACAAATACAAAAACAAAAGCCATTAATTGAACATTCAAATAGAGAAGGCCTGGTTTAAGATGGAGATCTTCAAGGGCATCTATAAGATGTAGTATTAGGTGCCCTGGAAATTTCAGTGATTTGAGCATTCCAGAATGGAGGCAAAAGAGAGAACGTCTGCCAACAGATGACCATAAGACAGTACTCTGTGGTTCTGGGCACGTGCATTAAGACCTCCCCTGATGATCTCAATGGTAGGATCAGGTTATAGCAACAAAGGTGCTATAGCTATCCTGATCTCAGGTTGTTCAAGGCTTTGAATCTAGCTCAGCATATAATTGGCAACCAGGGCAGTTTCTTCAACAGAGGTATAACATTGACACAGCCAGACACCCAACTGAGTTACCTGCATTCTAACCAAGCTCCCCTTTTCAAGTCAACTGCAAGGGTAGTCCCGTCAAATGTGCATTAAAATAATCTAAATGTAAATTTATCAGTGCCTAAATATTAATAGTTAAGCTGTTCCTGTCCAAGAAGAGTATAGCTGGAATACCAGCCAAAGTTAGCAATAGGTGTTTCTGGCTATTCATAGGCCTCCCATGTTCTTGATCACTCTAGGAATGCTCCCAAATCACATGCCTGTTCTGAGAGAATGAAATCCATTGAACAGGGAAACATCCCAATTCCAATACCCAGGAAATATCCATCAACAAAGTATCTGTCTTGTCAAGATTCAGTCTCAGTTTATTTATTTTTTATTTATGTATTTATATATCAAATTTGTCATTCATCTCGTTGAAACGACTCCATCCCATCACAGCATCCAGATGCTGGTTGCAGATCCAGTAACATCTGTAACCTCTGCTGACTCACATTGATGACACCCAGCTCCAAAATGCCTAATGATCATCTCCAGGGCTTTATATTGATGCTAAATGCCAATGGGATCAAAATCATGCCAGTAACTCAAAGTCCTGAGGTATAATCATCGAATACTACCCCTGTAGCTGCAGGGTTCATAGCCGTAAATTTCTCAAGACAGTATAAGAGGGTATCGTAGTGGACAATCTCAAAAAGCTCCAAAGTTGCACTTCCTTTCTCCTGGCTTATCTGACACGATGACAATAGTTGTACTGTATGCTTTTTAATTGTTTTAATTGTTTTTAACATTTGTATTGTTTGTATGGTTGTTTTATTTTTTGGTTTTTTTGTTATTGTTTGTTTTAATTGTAAGCTGCCCAGAATCACAACTGTGAGATTGGCAGCTTTATAAATTGGATGGATGGATGGATGGATGGATGGATGGATGGATGGATGGATGGATGGATAATTTTTTCCCAAACCCAGGCTGAAACTCAAGTTGAAAAAGGTTGAGATAATTGGGGGCCTCTAGCAAAGCCTAGAGCTACACCCATAGCATTCTCTCAACCACTTTGTCCCAGAAAGGGATATTGGGACTAGGGCAACAGTTGGCAAAATCTCTGGATGCAGGGACAGACCACTCCAGTACAGAACCAGGTCTGTATTTGTTCAGGGACCTTTAAAATTGACTTTTTGTTCCAGAACTGCATCAATATCTGTGCAAGCGTGTATACAGTAGTTACACATCCATTTCCCTCCTGGGCAAGTAAAGACACATAGAGCCTCCACCCATCATATTCTTGCTTTCTTTATTTATGGGGCAGAAAGAAGAGACAGTAAAGCTTCTCTTTTCCTTTGAGCAAGGAGGGAGAGAGCCCCGCTGCCTGCTGCAATATTTGTGGGCAGCTGCAACCACGCAGTGGCACAAGGGACCTTCGTCAGTCAGCAGGGGCAACTTCCAAGGCCCTTAGGCTGCGAAGTGGCCACACTTACTTTAGAAAATTATGCAGATGAAATATATCTTTTATGCATAACAAGCAACTATGATAACCACCCTGAACTATGAGAATTTAGTCCATGAGGTTTTTTTTCTTTTTTTTTTAATATCAAGGAACATTGAAGCCTTCATTCTGTAATTTTTTCCCCCCTCCAATTCAGTTGTTTCAATTTTTGTTATCGTCGCTGTTTGTTGTGTCTTGCAGGGACTCAGTAGAAAAACCGGCATCTCTTCCAGTCATCTTCAAGCCCTGTGGATTGGCTATAGCACTGATAGTTTGTCAGCGGCACTTGCGTCTTTGAGAAATCTCTACACGCCGAACATCAAGGTAAGAAATAAACTATTGGTTATGTTTCCAATTTGCATTATTCTGATTTTTTTTTAAAAAAGCAATTCCATGCAGTGAGGGTCTCTTTGAAAAAAGGCCTGGTAGGTTGTTATTTGGGGGAAAGCATCTTCTTTCTTAAAAAACAAAAAAAAACATGTTAGAAGTTGGAAATAATAGTAGGCTTAACTGTAATGGGAATTTGTTCCAGCGTGAAGAAACTCTCTGCTTGAACATTCTGTATGTTTTAGAATCATAAAGTTGGAAGGTGCCCTTTAGCCATTGCGCCCAACTCCTGCTCAGTTGAGGTTGTTTTTGAAAAGTGTGCAGATTCTGGGGAGATACTTGGCTATCTGCATTTGCTGCCCCTTGTCCATTTGCAGAATTAATTGAAAAAAATCCCCATCTCAGGAAAAAAAACTTCAGTGGAAGAAAGCTAGGTGAAGTTCTACAAATATTAAGGCTAGACAAGTTAAGGAGGCCAAATTTTCAAAATTCTCCAGCACACATATTTGTTAAGCAGCTCTCAAAACGAGATTTTAATGCCTTTTATAACTTGAGTAAATTGATTCTTCATTTACATCAATTTACATCAAAAAAGTCATCTGTACTGAACCAGCTGAAGTTAGTCCCAACTAATTGGGATTCCATTGAATATAATCATACTTCAGATTAATCACATTCAATTTCCTCATTACTGTCATTTGGCCTGATACACTAGCATTAGAGGACTAGAGATGATTCTGTGTATGCTTGTGTGTGTGTGTGTGTGTGTGTGTAGTCCTTATAATTTTAAGAATTAAAGTAATTGTTTAAAAGTGATCCATAGAATTCAGTGCAGCTGAACTTTATTAGTATTAAGGAACTTTAACCTGTGGGATTCTAAATTTGTGGTAATATGGCAGCAGTTATACTGAATGAATTGCCAATGTATTGCCATACTAATGTTTATTAGCTTACTCCAGAGCAATGTTTGAGTAGAAAAATCATACTGACTCAACTAGATTAAAGTGTGTGACTACAGCAGTCACAGATAAATATTACTTTAAGATATTATTAAAATGTATTGGGGGAGCATCATTCTGTCTGGTTCTGTTGTACATGAAATGCTATAATATGTATAGATTGTGTTAAACCTTATGCTGAGTACTCTAGGCACAAAAAAAAATCAGTTGCTGTAGATTATACAGTGTCATTTGGAAAGCAGATACTGTACTTGTAAAGTGAATAATTTCAGGCACAGCAGCCTATAATTATGACCCATAAGTGTAATAATGCAAACACATAGGGCTGTCTGCCCTTGTATAAACAGAAGACAGTTTACATAACCAGTCTTATTCCTTTGCTCATGCAAAATCCTGCCACCTGAGTTTGCATAATTCTTCCTTGTCCCTCTTGAGAGGGTTTTTGGAAAAAGCTTGGGAAGAAAAAAATAGGCCTTGCATAGTGTCCTCATCTTATAAACCAGGAGGAGGAACTCACACATTTTATTCCTCACAACAAGGAGATCACCGCTTTCCTTTTAAGTGACTTTTATCAAGTATCAAGGTGAAATGTCTACTTGTAGCTTTAGCTTATAGAAATTGGTTGGTACCTTCCTTACAGTTTTGATTGGTTTTGGCTGTCATTTTTATATATGCACTTTAATTGTATATGTTTTAATGTTTATTTAGTCTCAGACCATACATTAATGAACTACTAATATATATTTTATTAGTGGAATGCAGGAATGATCCTTCAGGTGCCCTGAATCAGTTTCATGCTTTAACACTCAGATAGAATACTTCAAAAATATTATCACAATGAGATGGTGACTTAATTTTTTTTAAACCTAGGTGAGTCGTCTGCTGATTCTAGGTGGTGCAAATATAAATTACAGGACAGAAGTCCTCAACAATGCCCCAATATTGTGTGTGCAGTCTCATCTTGGGCATGAAGAAATGGTCCTCCTCCTCCTAGAATTTGGGGCTTTGATTGATGGAGCATCTGAAAATGGGATGACTTCACTGTGCTGTGCAGCAGCTGCAGGCCATATGCACATAGTTTCACTTCTCAGCAAAAGAGGAGCAAAGGTAAGTTTCACGAGAGACTTTGCATGTTTGGAGTTGTAGCAGTGTTGTTGATGTAAGGCAGGCTGTGCTCCATCAGGACATGCACTCTGTCAAGCAAATGTGAAATTTCTGTACAAAGCAGTAACTATGGGGCTGATGTCCTTCTCAGGTTTATGCAAAATCGCTTGGAGAAAATTAAGTTAAAGGCCACTTTATGTGACTACACGTGGCCCTATACATGGCCTGATTACACATGGCTCTACTTTTCTAACACAAGTGTATTTTAGAGTTGGTGATAAGTATTTGTATTATTTCAGAATTATGTACCAAGAAATGGCTAAAATGGTATATAAGTAATTAAATAAATGGAAACATTAACAGAATCCTTGAGGGAGGGTAGATGCTTTGCAGAAGAAGAAAAAGAAGTGAAAGGAGGAAAGAGCTCAACTTAAAATATGTACTGTCACAGCTGTAAGATTATTAGAAGAAGCTTGTGCCTTCCAGGGATTTGAGAGGTAGAATACTGACATGTACTTACACATGCTACAAAATCAGCCTGATCCAGAGGCCTCTACGGAGGGAAAGAAGGGTCAGGCCGACAAGAGCAGCATCTTTTTCTATGTGCTTTGACATTGCAAGCATGCCCCAAAGGGATGGAGTTTACAGCATGACACCACAATGCTATTTTTGTCTATTTGGCAAAAGTGAGATCTTGAGCTTGCCATAGCTTTGATCTCATAACTTTTCTGCATGGTTCTTGTGGGTCAGGAGGAATGATTACAAATTAACCAGTTGCCTCTCTCACCGACGAAGTGTCATTTTATAGTGCTGTTATGATTGCTTTTTCTTCTGCTTTCTCTAAATTTCCTAAAGCATGAGAGTATAGTCAAGAAATTATATTATTGTTAATTTGCTTTGAGCTACCACATACCATTTCGCATTGTTGATACTATGAAAGAAACACTGACTAGTAAATAATTCTTGATACGCTGTCATGTTTGGTGACTGGTAAGTTGCCGAGAAATCCTGTGATAGGATTTTTGTCTTTTGTGTGTCCCTTGGCCAACCTTCTGTGGCTGAAAAGTACGCTAGAGAGCACTACAGTATTCAGTTTATAACTAACCTAGTTACTACATTGAAGCCATTTGGAAAAGGGGAAAAATCATATTGTTTGAAACATATTATCAGGCCTTCTAAGAATTCTAAAAAATGGTCTTATAATAAAATAAGAGTATAATAAAATAAGAGTTGTTCTGTAATTTGTGGAGCTGTCAAAAACACAGTCCTAAAGGCCTCAGGGACCTTCTCCTGGTGGGATGTACTCTTAGCTGGATTATTACCTTGATTATTATTTTTCTTGATAGTCTCTTTCCTTCTCCCTTTAAAATAGATTGATCACTTGGACAAAAAAGGACAGTGTGCTTTGGTTCATAGTGCTTTAAGAGGTCACTCTGATATTCTTGAATATCTGCTCAGCATGGATTGGCAGACTTCGCCTCACCAGCAGTGCTCCCTGACAAAGAAGCAGGCTCTTCAGCAGGCTCTGACTGCCTCTTCAAGTATGGGACATGGCCAGGTAACTTGTCCCCTCTCACCTTTCCATGGCCTGTTGTCACCCCTTCAAGTCTAGGAAACCAAAGTCATGCAGGCCAATATCACTTTTATTATAGACCTATTGTGACAGAAGCTTGCAAGTCTGAATGCACTCCCTCCCTCCCTTTATCTTTGTGAGAACTAGGGAGGGTCTTGTCTGAGAAACTTTCTCTAGTTACAGTTCTGGCCCAGACTCAGATTTCTTTTATCTGATTGTTGTCTTGATTGCAGCTCTTCTTCCTGTTCTGCAAGGTTATTTGTTCTGCCCATTACGTCTATTCATTGATTTAAAAAAGAGACAGCTTTTCTCCTTACAAAGAACCCTGCATATTGCATCTTCATATGAAATGTGCACAAAACATAGGTTAGCATACAGAATAGTTTGTACTGGGCTGACACTGAACCAGGCCTGCACCACTGCCGAACTTGGATGCTCGTGCATTTAGCATGTCCAGCAAAAGGATTCTTGACTGGTTCTTTTTCCTTTTTCCTTTTTAATCCTTCCCTTTGATTTTGGGCTTGGTTTCAGCCAGCTAGACAGCATGCTATAGTTCATAATTAAGGCCACATCATTGGCTAATTTGGGCTGCAAAAGCTCAGCTGATGCATCTGTAATTTTATGAAATTCATCTTGGCTTGTACACTTTAACCTCTGATGTTTTTATTACCACTTTTGAAAAAATGTGTTGAACTCTCTGCTGTGAATGGAGTAAAGGTGGATTACAGTGGGGCAAAAAAGTATTTAGTCAGCCACCAATTGTGCAAGTTCTCCCACTTAAAAAGATGAGAGAGGCCTGTAATTTTCATCATAGGTATACCTCAACTATGAGAGA